AATTTGAATCAGACAACCATATGATCTACTATGCCAGGAATGATAATTTGAAGAGGAATGGCACGGCATTCATCATCATAATGGATGTTTCAAGATCTTCCTGAAGTACAATGCTTTCAGTGATAGGATAATATCCATATGCCTACAAGGAAGACCAGTTAATATGCACCAATGACCAAAGCCAAAGATGAGGAAATGAAGTTTTTATTAACTTCTACAGTCAGAAACTGACCAAACATGCACTCAGGAAGTGTTAATTATCACTGGTGACTGGAATGCAAAAGTTGGAAATAAAGAAGAATCACTGGGAGTTGGAAAATTCGGACTTGGTGACAGAAATAATGCTGGAGATCACATGATAGAATTTTGCAAGACCAATGACTTACTCACTGCAAATACCTTTTTTCAACAAAAAACAAACGGCAGCTATATACTTGGATTTTGCCAGCTATACACAGGAATCAGACTGACTACATCTGTGACAAGGGGCAATGGAAAAGCTCGATATCTTCAGCCAAAACCAGGCCAGGGGCTGATTGTGGAAAACCATCAACTGCTCATATGCAAGTTCAATGTGAAGTTGAAGACAATTAAAACAAGTTCATGAGAGCCAAAATATGATCTTGAATATATCCCTCCTGAATGTAGAGACGATCTAAAGACTAGATTTGATGCATTGAACACCAATGACCAAAAACCAGAAGAACTGTGGAGTGACATCAAGAACATCATCTATGAAGAAAGCAAGAGGTCATTAAAAAAACACGAAAAGAAGAAAAAACCAAAATGGATGACAGAAGAGACTCTGAAACTTGCCCTTGAGGGAGCTGTTGCACTGTGGTAAACTGTAGTCAATATCATAAGACAAAGTGTATGTGAACTGCTGTATGGAAAGTGAATTTGCTCTGTAAACTTTCACCTAAATCACAATTAAAAAAAAAAAAAAAAACTTGCCCTTGAGTGGAGAGTGGCTAAAGCAAATGGAAGAAATGACAAGATAGAAGAGATGAACAGAAGATTTCAAAGAGCAGCTTGAGCTCAGACAAAGCCAATTGCTGTAATGAAATGTGCAAAGACTTGGAGTTAAAAAACCAAAAAGGAAGGACATGCTCAGCATTTCTCAACCTGAAAGAACTGAGGAAAATATTTAAGCCTCTAGTTGCAATATTGAAAGATTCTATGGGCAAAATATTGAATGATGCAGGAAGCATCAAAAGAAGATGAAAGGAATACACAGTCACTGTATCAAAAAGAGCTGGTCGATCTTCATCCATTTCAGGAGGTGGCATATGATCAAGAACCAATGGTTTTGAAGGAAGAAGTCAAAGCTGCACTGAAGGAACTGGCAAAAAACAAAGGTCCAGGAATTGACGGAATACCTATTGAGATGTTTCAACAAATGGATGCCCCACTGGAGGCACTCACTCAGTTATGCCAAGAGATTTGGAAGACAGCTACCTGGCCAACTAACTGGAAGAGATCCATATTTGTACCCTTCCAAAGAAAGGTGATCCCACAGAATATGGAAATTATAGAACAATATCATTGATATCACATGCAAGTAAAATCTCATTGAAGATAATTTAAAACTGGTTGTAGCAGTATATTAATAGAGAACTTCCAGAGGTGCAAGCTGGATTCAGAAGAGGACACAGAACAAGGCATAACATTGCTGATGTCAGATGGATCTTGGCTCAAAGCAAAGAATACCAGAAAAATATTTACTTGTGCTTTATTGACTATGCAAAAGCATTTGATTGTGTGAATTATAACAAATTGAGGATAACATAGAGAAGAATGGGAATTCCAGAACAATTAATTGTGCTCATGAGGAAACTGTACATAGACCAGGAGGCTGTCATTCGAACAGAACAAGGGGAAACTGCATGGTTTAAAATCAAGAAGGGAGTGTGTCAGAGTTGTATCCTTTCACCATACTTATTCAATCTATATGCTTAGCAAATAATCTGAGAAGCTGGACTATATGAAGAAGAACGCGGCATCAAGATTGGAGGAAGAATCATTAACAACCTGCGGTACGCTGAGGACACAACCTTGCTTGCTGAAAGTGAGGATGATTTGAAGCACTTACTGATGAAGACTGAAGAATACAGTCTGCAGTATGGATTATACCTCAATATAAAGAAAACAAAAATCCTCACAACTGGACCTATAAGCAGCATCATGATAAACGGAGAAAAGATTAAAGTTGTCAAAGACTTCACATTGCTTGGTTCTACAATTGAGGTCAATGGAAGCAGCAGTCCGGACATCAGATGACGTATGTTGTTGTTGTTGTTGTTGTTGTTTTGTGCCGTCGAGTCAGAACCGACTCATAGCGACCCCTCCTTGGGTTTCCGAGGCAGTATCACTACGGAAGTAGATTGCCCCATCTTCCTTCCAAGGAGTGGCTGGTGGGTTTGAACCACCAGCCTTCTGGTTAGCAGTCAAGTGCCTTAGCCACTATAGCACTGGGCAAGTCGGCTGCAAAGGACTTCTTTCAAATGCTGAGGAGCAAAGACGTCTCCTTGCGGACTAAGGTGCACCTGGCACAAGCCATGATATTTTCAATTGCCTCATATGCATGTGAGAGCTGGACAATGAATAAGGAAGACTGAAGAACTGATACATTTGAGTTGTGGTACTGGCAAAGAATGCTGAAAGTACCATGACTGCTAAAAGAACTAACAGATCTGTCCTGGAGGAAGTGTACCTGGAACGTTCCTTGGAAGTGAGAATGGCCAGACTTCATCTCATCTACTTGGGTCATGTGTTCAGAAGGAACCATTGCCTGGAGAAGGATGTCATGCTTGGTAAGGTAGAGGGTTGACAAAAGAGGAGAAGGCCCTAAACGAGATGGATTTACACAGTGGCTGCAGCAACGGGCTCAAGTATAGCAAGAATCGCGGAACTAAGAAGAAAACCAAAATTAATGGAAACAATCAGCCCTAGCGACTGGTACACCATCCGATCTGCAACCTATACAACTATGAGACCAGAAGAACTAG